TTTTAGGGTAAGTCCCATACAGGTGAAAAGTCACTTTTACAAGAAATGATATATAAACTACAATCCCACACTAAAACATCAAACTAAAAAAATCCCCAATAAAATAAATACAACAATATCAAAAAGTTAGATAAACCGAGGACGAGAGGAACGAGGGGGGGCGGGGATGTTTCACGGGTGTTTGTTAACTTAGTAGTTTCTTCATAGCTATTGAATCGTGTGCTCGTTTCATCAGAAATGTATACGGTTTGCATTATGAAATTCCTCGTTCACATGTTTTGAACCCCAAATCACCGTACGGTACTTCTAGCATTTGGTTTTGTGAATGATTCGATGAACCTGTACATCCATCTATCTAGCATTCCTGCCACATAAAAATCCATATATCGATAATTAACTTATTATTAGTATTGAGTCCAGTATATGGTATAAATATAATTAAAGAGAATAATCAGAGAGGTAGTGATAAAACACACCATCCTATCAAGATCATATTTGCAGAGACTACATAAATTCATATACAGTCAGACAATCGGGGAGAAATAAGTGAAAGGAACCTGTTAATGCAAATGTACCACCCAGTACTGCACAGAGACGTGTAATGAAGTGGAGGAAACTACGACGTTCTTCCCTAATTGTCACGGTAATTGGTGACAAATCATACAAGAAGTATACAGCTGCATCGAAAATGCAATGGTTAATTAATTCCTCAGCACGGTATAGGAACAAAAGAAGGGCAAATATCTCAAAATTCTGGATTAATGACAACTTACCAGGCCAATTTCTATCGAACTCGTGAATCGGAGAAAAGTACTCGGTGACAGAGAATTGATTTGTAGGTAAAACTTCCTTCGAGATGTACTTGTATTCAGTTGGAACAATCTACAAAAAAAAAAAAACTTTCAGAAGGTGCTGTGAGATCGCTTTATAATGTCAGGCTGCAATTAGTGAATTACACTAACATGATCTTTTATCAACAAAATCAGTTCGGTGAAGAATATTAATATACGCATGAGAGGCCAACTTCATAAACTGAAACCTCGACTTAGATATATATCTCTCGCTGCAAAAGGAGACTCAAAGTTTGATACGTGTTTGGATTAAGAGACAAGTAATAAAATTTTCAGAACAAAATTGAACTGAGAAAGTAGTTCTTTGTCATATAGAATATGATACGTCTAAGGTCATAATTGAGATGCCATGTCATATGAAGGATTCTGCAATTTCTAACCTTTTAACATTATATTTAGAAGACAAAATAGAGTATAGCATGACATAAGATTTCATAGTTTTATCAAAGGTGGCAAGAGCTGAAACCTTTATGTAGTACTTGAATGTTCCACTTGCTCCACGCAAAATCCGAGATGTCTCGTCAAGTGGGTTATGTATTCCGGGATATTTGGGCCCAAACGATAAATCGTGAATTATATGACTCACATTGACATGAGAAGAGCCCTCAAAAATCTGCAGAAGAGAAAATGGAGTAATTAAATACAAGTAGTTGGTACAAAGTTAAAAAATAAGCTTCACGACTAAGGGTTTCTGTTTATAGTGTTTATAGAAAATTAGATGCTAAAAGTAGTTTCTGCTAAATCAGTAACTACTTTTATTGAGCTTAACTATTGCGTTGATAAGGTAGAACTGCAGAACGTGCTTTTGTAACCGGGTTTTTATTTTTTTAATTAAAAATTATCATCTTCGGACAAATCAGAGGCAAAAAAATAAGGTTAAGTAAATCCAACAGCTTACCATTTGCGCAACAAAAATGTTCAATCCATGGACTGAGATATGAAAGTTCCCGGCAACCCTTTGGACATCTAGAACACCATATACCTGCAGCAGACAATGAGATATATGAGAGATTAAAGAGCTGAAATACGACAAAAAAAGAGTGTAACATGGACAAAATCATACCCGGCAACCTTCACCGTTAGCCAATGCCTGCTTCACCTTCTTGACCATATTTTCAGCTTCTTGATCAAGATTATGGAGTTTAATTTTATGCTCTGACTCCTCCTGGTGATCTTTGTGGTCATCTGATCAGTGTGTTCAATAAGAATTTTGTTACAAACAATCACAGCTTCTTTTGCCAAATTGCTTAACATATATATATGGAATCCACTCTAAAAGAATCAGCATGCCAAAAAACCTTTAAAAAATCGAGCCATGCTTAAAGTTTGCATCGGACATAATTTCAAGTGTACTTAAAGTTCCATATGAACTAACCATGCCCATGAGCAGTATTTCCCTTCTCAACAAGGTCAGATAAATACTCTGTGCCAATGATATGGCCATCATTATTCAAACGAAGCTGTAGAAATAATTATCGGTCAGCATAATGACAAAAAAAAATGTAGAACATCAGATGTGTTGTGTGTGTGGGTGTTGGGGGTG